CCCCTGTGCTTCTTCTCCCCTTGTCTAGTTTCAGCACAGCAGCAAGAGGGATCCTCCTCTTAAACTCAAGTTCCATGATGTCACTGCTCAAAACTCACCAAAAGCTTCCCGAATCACCTGGGTCAATGCCCTGGAGTGAAGTAGATCCAAACCCTCTGAGGCTTGCCCTCATCCCACAGCCTCTCTGACTTCATCCACTGCCTAGCCCGCTTCATGGCAGCTGTGCTGGTCTCCTTGCTGTCCCCCAAGCACAGGGCCCCTGCCAAGGAATCCCTAGGTGCTATGCCCTCCGCCCTGCATGCCTGCACTCATGTCCCCACATGGGTCACCGCTCACAGGTCACCTTTCCATACACCGTCCTAATGTCCTCTATTCCTTTGTTCTTCCCCCTACAAGCTTCTTACGAGTCGATACATGATCTATTTCAGCCATTTATTTGCCTGTTCCTGCTTCACCCCACTAGAAGTAAGCTCCAAGAAGCAGGGGATTGTGTTTCTTCAGTTCGCCGCTGCTTCCTTTGGTATGAGGAGAAGGCAATCCAATACTGATCAGACGAGTCAGTGCTGCACAGTCTCTCTCACCGTTGTTAAACGTTGGAAAATAAAAAGAAGATTGGACATATGGCCCTACACAATGTACAACAGAATTTAATGCATCAAGTAAAATAAATCTCTCTTTTCAGGTTATTGGCAAGAAGATATTTTTATAGTAATTAGAATTTTTATGACCACCTATTTTATCAACATTTATTTAAAAGTAAATTACCTTTGTGGATGGATCCTTAGGCTGGCTATAACATGGAATGAAGAAGGCTGCTCAGCCTCACTTTCTCCATTAATCACACTTCTCAGTGGTTTATTTTTATTCCTTGCATTGTTTTCACCATTACTCTAGACTATAAAGTGACTTCTTATTCACTGGGTAGCATTCAGAAAGCACAGTAGCCAATCAATAAATATTTGCTGAATGAATAAACTGTAATTTTCTTCAGGGCAGTACTTGTGTTAATGCATAGTTATTGATTAATATTAATTAGTTAAGTGAATTAAGGTGGTAATCAGTATATAAAACTCACTGAATGAGAGTCACTTTTGGACCTCCTACTCTGTATGTGTAATTACTACACTGGATCAGTCTGTGGTGTGCTAAAGAGAGCACTACAGAACCATGAAAACGCTGCTAATAATTTGAATATTATAGATTTAACTCTACGATTGTATATGAAATACAACCACTTTCTAGTTTTTGATTCTGTCTGGTAAAAGAGAAGCCATATCATCAGACACTGAGCTAATTCATGTTCTGGAGTAAGTGCTTCTAACCACAGTGTAAAAGGAATGAGACAGAGAATGCTAGAATATGTAAAAGGACGAATGAAATTACGCCTCAGCTTTTATTAGATGTTGGCCCTCCACTCTCCCCTTCCTCTGCTGGTTCATGTATTCGGCAGGTGTGTATGAAGTGTACATGGAGGGTCTGCCAAGGAGTAGGCACTATTCTAGTGAACAGCCTTATGTGTACTAGCTCACTGCTTCTGTGACTGTTTGCAAGCTAATTATTTATTAAGTGCCAAACTTGAAGATCCTAATGAACACTGCTGCTACAAGTTATATAAAAATTACTGAAGATAAACCAAATCGTGCTAGGCAGAAAAGATGCTATTACAACGGCAGCTGGCCGTTAATATGATTGAGTTGTTGCCATGGGAACAACAGTATCTCATAAGAACAAAGAGAAAAATAAATAATTATTTGAAGAAATATCAAGTTCATGATGAGGTAAAACATCAAGGAACAGGGGTAATGTGCTGATATTCTTAGAAGTAAGCGGAGGGGTCTCAAAGAATTGGAGGATAAAATGAACTACAAACGCGTATAGAGAATGCTCCACTTCCTGAAGGAGCTGCTGGTTTCACTGAGTCTGACACTGACACGAGGGTATCTCCAGCTAAGGCAGGAATTCAATACATCTTCAAATCGTTATTCTTTTACTGAATATTTATTTTGGGGACTAGGATTGGTCCATTGCTCATTGATTCCTCTGAAAGATGCTGTTTAGCCTCAACCTGAAGAAGGCCAAAGTGTACGCATTGTTCCCTCAGTCATGTAAGGAGTCACAGGGAGACCCCCGCAACATGCCGCCAATACCTCCTTGATTCCTGTAATCATGTGACGGCTTGTGTACTGACCCCAGTGCTGGTCCCAGTGCTCTGCTCCAGGCCCAGCCCTGGTTACAAACGTGTCTTATTCTCATGCCGAGGGCAGGCTCTGTGGTTTGCAGCTTCTAGTCTGTCAATGACATTTCTGACTTTAATGCTATTTGTGGTAACAGTTTCTTATATGCTGGAGGGGAGTCATTTCAGCATTATTTATAACTACTGCCACCGTGAAGTCAATATAATGTTTCTCTTGAGATTTAACTCTGCTATTTTTTTTGGTTTTTTTTTTCCTTTAGTGGTGATTTAGTGTGTCAATTCAGGGCTGCTCCAGCAATATTTAACTGTAAGTGGAATATGAGTCTACACTTAGGCTCAGTGGAGAATGTATGAAGAAGGGGGATATTCTTCCTGTGTTCTGCCAAGGTAAGAAACTGAGACATTTCAGAAGGGAGGAGAGGAATTCTGGCTGCATTGGAACTCAAGAAACAGAAGTCTTGACCAGCAATTTGCTTGAGGAAATGGAAAAAAGATTGTAAAATTCAAGCACAGACATATAAATGTTTATGAGAATAGTAGGACCATTTTTCTTAAAGGGAGAAAAAGTCTCTTTTGTCAAAGACTTGTAT